TTTAGTAAAATAGTGTGATTTTTTTTTGCTTATTTTCTTCATTTTCATATGCTAACAGTACTTTATTAAAATATAATTTATATAAAGTAAAATGAAAAAATCTTAAGTGTATAATGAGGTGGATTTTGATAAATATATGTATGTATAACCATGCTCATATCAAATATAGAATATTGCCACTATTTTATTTTATTTTTATTTTATTTTATTTTTAATTTTTTTGTATGGAAGCTTCACGCCCAGCATGGAGCCCAATGTGTGGCTTGAACTTAAAACCCAAGAGTCGCAGGGTCTACCGCCTGAGCCAGACAGGCACCCCAGAACATTGCCACTATTTTAAAAATCCTTTCTTTTCTACCTATTTAATTTCTGTAAAAATGTTTATAATAATGTAGAAATATGTGTCACCTGAACCTTTCGTCAAAGCAGATGTATTTGGGGTTGACATGGAACATGCCATTACTAACAAAATGCTGACATTGAACTTGTTTAACTGGCAACTGCTCTTTTGTGCCTTGGATGAAACTTCTGAACAGTTGCTACAAGGCCCCCTAATATTTGTGCACATATAGGAATTTAGTTGGACTCTTAAGTTTTTTGTGATGAACTAAATATTAATTTAAAAGTTACCATATTTCCTATTTTCAATTATTTCATTACTTTCTTAGATCATTGCCATACCATGTTCATTGGGCACAACAAAACTGCCTTCTGTGCAGTCTGGTTCCTAAATGTGCATCAGTAAAGTCAAGAGGAGCTCTACTTTCTGCCTTTTCAAGAGATGGTGTTACCCTGGCAGTAACTCTTAATCAGAAAGACCCAAAGGTCAGTAAATGTAATCTGTTTTGGAAGTAACCTATAAAAGAGTTTAGTCCAGTTTGGAGTTCCTTGTTTTTTAATAACTATTTTATGTTTTTTAAATTGGTGTTTTCTGATCCAATTTAACATTGTAGATTGGTAAAGTTATTTAAACTAGCTGCTATAATTTCAAAACTTGACCTTCAGAAGTGAAAAGAGGGTAGCAAAAAGGAACAAAAAAGGGCAAAGTGGTAACTGATGGCCTTAAAATATAGTATAAAAGGGCATGGAGTTTTAGTTTTCAGTATTGTTTTGCCAGTTGGGAAAGACTTCCAGGATAGTTTATTGATATCATAATAGTCTCTAGGTCTCTAGAATTAAAAGTAATGATTAAAATAAAATAATTTAATGGTTTTGTTGTCTTTTTTTTTCTTTTTAGGCAACTCAGGTATTGTTTATAAACACACTGAATTTTGTTACTCTCTGTGGTAGCCTGAGAGGATGTAGTAATAAGAATCCTGTGGTCCCAGCTACACTTATCAGGTAAGAACACTTATGTTTCTACATATTGTTTTTATTTTCCAATAGTTTAATAAGTTTCAGGCTCTGATAATTCAAAAGGTATCTAAATAAGTATTTAGATAGGTAATGCAATTTCCTTTCAGCGTTTGTGCTTGATAGATTCTAAAATTGCTTTATGTAAGGAAAATTCTACTTTAAGAAAGGGTCTTGGTAGGCTGGAGGATACATGAACATATTTTCTTTTCTCTTTTATATTTTCCTGTATTGTCTCAGGAGGAGTGGGGTTACAACTGGGTAGGGAACTATTGAGCTTAATTAGAGACCAAAATGAAAATAACCTGGATTGGGAAAACCATTATGTACTCAGGGACGCTGAGGTGTTAGCTTTTTAAACAAAGTTGGCATGCTCTGCATGTAGGTTAATAGCAACACAAGTCAACATAAGTCATGATTTTGGATGGCACATGAGCCACTACCAGATTTCCTCTTGGACTTCTTTTTTTTTTTTTTAAAGATTTTACTTATTTATTTGACAGAGAGAGACCCACAGCGAGAGAGGGAACACAAGCAGGGGGAG